AGGCAATTGGGAGCTTGCCTCCCTCCCTTTTTAACAATAGGGCTTATAGGAATCTTAAAGTCACTGTTCCATAGTAGCCTTACAGGGAGCCCAAGGTGGAGAAAGACCTAGCTCAGAGAGATTTGCAGCTGTGGCTCTTTGCCTAACGGAATAAATTATAAGTAAATATGCCAATAGCTCACAAAGCTTTTAAAAGAATCATATTAGCTTGCACAGAAAGGAACAGAAACAGCACAAATGAAAGTTTGAGACATTTGGACCCCCAGTTGATAAAACTTCTCAGCTGCACTCAGGCCATTCTTATAGCAAAGGAATTATGATCCAGTAGGTACAAGTGAGAACTCCTGAGGTCAGAGCCAAGAGCTAGAAAACAAGCAGCAAACCTGAGCCTTAATCAGAAACAGGCAACATGCACCCAGCTGGATTTCAGAGCCACAGATGGACCTATGATTGCTATGTGCCTCTTATTTTCTCCCTCTTTGAATGAGAGTATCTATGATGGTGTGTCTAACCATTGTATAACCGGGTGCATGGGGCCAAGAACTTTAGTTTACTGGTGTTTAGACTGGAGAAATGGTCCTTAAATTGCTGTACCTGAGGAACTGTACCTGAGGAACTCATGAACACTTGAACCTGATTTACATAACCTGAACTGATGTCATAATGAGATGGAACTTGATGGCCTTGGAGGGGAGGAGGGGTGCATTTTGCATGTGAGACGGATGGGAAGAATCACTGCCAGAGGATAGACTGTGTTGATTATAATTTCCAAAGATGGCCACAGTAATTTCTCTCTTTTTATGTGATCTTGACACTTTCCCATTGAGGGGCAAGGTCTATGATCCCTTTCCTTGAAATTGGACAGACATGTGACTACAGCAGAGCAGGGCTGCATTATAAATGGGGAATCAGCATGCTATCTGGTCATAAATAGTGATAGTTTCCTGTCTTGCTCCCTTGAGATTCTTGCTCTTAAAATGCAAGCCCTTTGCCTTGAAGCCCAAGCAGCCACATGGAAAAGACACATGTAGGTGTTCCAGTTGATTGCCCCAGCTGAAGACTCAGCCAACAGCCAGTATTGATCACCAGACATGTGAGTAAGTTTTTGGAAGATTCCAATCTCCTGTTGTCAAGTCACCCCCAGGCTTCAAGTCTTCCCAGCTGACAGCTCAGATGGTACTACAGAGATAAGCTGTCCTTTTCTGAATTCCTGACCCACAGAATATGTGGGTATAGTAAAAAAAAAATGTTTTATTTTTCTCATAAGTTTTGGGTAGGCTGTATGACAGCAGTAGGGACTGGAACATTGACTGCTATAGTTTGCAATTTCATTGGGAACATATAAATGTTTTTCTACAGTTATTCTTGTTATTCCCATTGCCTCCCAGTAGAAGGCATTTTTGAAGGTAGATGTTGGATATCTTCCTTCCTTCCTCCCTCCCTCAATCTTTCTTTTCTTTCTTTTTTTTTTCTTTTCTTTCTTTCTCTTTTGTTCTTTCATTCTCTCTCTCTTCCTTCCTCCCTCTCCCTCCCTTCCTTCCTCTCTTTCTTTCTCTTTCTTTCTTTCTCTCTCCCTCCCTTCCTCCCTTCCTTTCTTTTCTTTCTTCTTCCTCCTTCCCCCCTCTTCTTTCCTTCCTTCTTTCTTTCTTCCTTTCTTTCCCTCCCTCCCTCTCTCTCTTTCTTTCTTTTTCTTTCTTTCTCTCTGTCTCTGTTTCTCTTTCTCTCCATCCCTCCCTCCCTCCCTTCTCTCTCTCTTTCTCTCTCTCTCTTTCTTTTTTTCCTTTCTCTTTCTGACAGAGTCTCACTCTGTCATTCAGGCTGGAGTGCAGTGGTACTCAACCTCCAAGGCTCAGGGAATCCTCACACCTCAGCCTCCCAGGTAGTTGGGGGTCACAGGTGCCTGTCAATATACCTAATTTTTGTATCTTTTTGGTAGAAATGGGGTTCTGTCATGTTGCTAGGCTGGTCTGGAACTCCTGAGCTCAAGCAATCTGTCTGCCTCAGCCTCCCAAAGTACTGGAATTACAGGCATGAGCCACCATGCCTGGCCAAAATCCTTCATTTTTAGTAAACTAGAAGTGAGGAATTAGGTGTTGAGGGGATAAGGCCAAATGCCAGATATTGCTTGAAGAAAAAATATTTTCAAAAATGTAACACTGTTGGTAGACTGAATCTACTCCAAAGCCAGACTCAGAGTATATATCAAACACTGCTAAGCACCCGGGTATGGTACAAATGGGAGGGAAGAGACTAAGAATATACAGCAGTGCTATTTCAGCTTTTCCTCTTGTGGCCAGCAGGCATGTTTTCCACTTCAAGTTCTCAGGAAACAATATGTGTTTCCTACATATTGACTATGGTCCCACCTGGACAGAGTTTTCATATTAAGCCACTTGATGGACTACTGGCTAACCTATGTATTGGCCTAATAGCTAACTGATGCCTATGGGTCAGGCATCTGCCCCATTCTAATCTATGATAGCGATGATTGAAGCTTTTTTGGGTTGAATTGTATCCCCTCAAAATTTACATGCTGGAACCCCAAATCTCAGTACTTCAGAATATGACTGTATCTGGAGATAGGGCCTTTAAAAATGTGATAAGGTTAAAGTGAGGTTGTGAGCATGGACCCTAATCCATTCTGCCTGGTGTCCTTGTAAGAAGAGAAAATTTAGATATAAAAAGAGATAGCAGGGCACAGAGAGGAAAGATAGTGTGAGAACACAGCAAGGAAATGGCTATCTGCAAGCCAAGCAGAGAAGCCTCAGGAGAAACCAGGCCTGCCCACACCTTGATCTTGGACTTCCAGCCTCCAGTGCTGTGAGAAATAAATTTCTATTGTTTCAGCCAACTAGTCTATGGCATTTTGTTATGGCAGCCCCAGTGAGCAAATACAGGAATGCAGTGTGGCTGCTCATTTGGTCTAATCCCCTTTAAAAGAGGGCTCCGGGTGAAGCTGACGCACAGCTTATTCTATACCCAGATATTTCCTTCAAACTATCTAATCCATTTGTAGGAAAAAGACGAAGAGATGTAAAAACCAGTATATGAAAATTAGGTATGAATGAAGTGCCACAATATAGGATACAGAAAATTATGTGGCACAGTGTTTATGCTGTATGAATTTGGAGGAGGGAGAGCTCGATGTGAATTATAGCAGAGAAGGTGAACCTTACGGAAATGATGGGGTGCGTCATCAGCCTCTTTTGTTGAGTGGGATTTAAAGCAGCGTGAGGGAGGTGAAAGGGCACTTCGGATATGGGTAATTGGTGTGAGCAAAGCAAAGAGGTAGCACTGAATGTGACACGTGAATGATAGAAGGGCCGGTATAGAAGTGGTAGACTAAATGTGTTGGGAACTAGTGGGAGACAGTAGTGGGCATGTAGAGTAGACGGAGATTGTAGGTGACCTTGGAAATCAGGCCAAGGACTTCTTATGGTTTTTAGGAGTGATCTGCTGGCAAAAGTTGTCCTTTCAAATATCCCAGGGTTCACCAGCAACAATAGTATTTTTTTTTCTTTGAGTTGGAGTCTTGCTCTGTGGCCCAGGCTGAAGTGCAGTGGCACTATCTTGGCTCACTGCAACATCTGCCTCCCAGGTTGAAGTGATTCTCCTGCCTCGGTCTCCTGAGTAGCTCAAATTACAGACGCACACCACCATGCCTGGCTACTTTTTGTATTTTTAGTAGAGATGAGGTTTTGACATGTTGGCCAGGCTGGTCTCAAACTCCTGACCTTAAGTGATCTGCCTGTCTTGGCCTCCCAAAGTGCTGGGATTACAGGTTTGAGCCACCATGCCTGGCCATTTCTTTTCTTTTTTTTTTTTTTAAAGTTACGAGTATAATAATTCATTGGTATAATATGATACCAATAATGGGTATAATAATTCATTGAGAAAATTATATGAGATAAAATATTAATATTACTATCAAAAGGGTTTCTAATTATAAGAAGAAAAATCCAACCTGTGTGGGGGGAAACAGAATTGTTCATTCATTCAAGAAATACTTGCTGAATACTTCCTAAGGGCTTCATATGGGGCATAGAGATGAGAAAGATATTATTGGCTCTTGGGACTTTTGATGGACAGGGGATTTTAGGTTGGCTGAATGTTAAGGAGGGCATTCCAGAAGTTTGAAGGTCTAATGACAGATGTACAGAGGGAAGAATAAATGAAGTGGAAGATTTATTCATGGGGCAGCTGGAAGTGATGCTGCAGAAGAAATAATGAGCTATTATAGAATTAATGTTGGGCTTTACAAATAAGGCAGAGGAGTTAATCTAGTAAATCCCCTTTTCCATGGCAGAAATGTGAACATCATAATTTAGAAGGTATCTACCAGAAGATGATGGCATCAAAGCTTTGTCATCTGAAAAAGAAGGAGATCATGTCCTTTGCAGGAACATGGATAGAGCTGAAGGCCATTATCCTTAGCAAACTAACACAGGAACAGAAAACCAAATACTGCATGTTCTCACTTATAAGTGCGAGCCAAATGATGACAACACATGGATACATAGAGGAGAACATAAGGCACTGGGGCCTTTTGAAGGGTGAAGAGTAGGAGGAGGGAGAGGATCAAGAAAAATACCTCATGGGTACTGCGCTTAGTACCTGGGTGATGAAATAAGCTGCACAACAAACTCCTATGACACAAGTTTCCCTATGTAACACACCAGCACTTGTACTCTTTTTATTTTAAATAAAAGTAAAAAAAAAAAAAATCTTTGGCATTCTAAGAGTTAACTTATTTATATCCACACACTACACTCACCAACCCATTAAGGTAACCAAGCTATAAAACAAACTTGGTCGTCTTCTCTTAAAAAATACTTTAAAACACAAAATAGTCTTTCTTGTAAGGAATTAGACATACTCGAGGAAAGTTGTAAAATGCTATATATATAATTAAGCACATTGTCATTAACTTAAATTTAAAGGAGGTCCTAAAAACAAAATCAGTTCTTAAATTTTTTTCATGTATTTATTAACTTTTTTAGAGGCAAGGTTTCACTCTATCAACCAGACTGGAGTTCAGAGATGCAATCACAGCTCATGAAGCCTTGAACTCTTGGGGACAAGAGATCCTTCTGCTTCAGCCTGCGGAGTAGCTGGGGCTTCAGGTATGTACCAGAATGCCTGGCAAATTTGAATTATTTTTTATTTTTATTTTGGTAGAGATGAGTTTTCACTATGTTGTCCATGCTGGTCTAGAACTTTTGACTTTAAGTGTTCCTCTTGTCTTGACCTCCCAACTTGCTGGGATTACATGAGCTAGCATGCCTAGCCTTGATATTTCTTTTTTAAAAGGCACTTGTATTATCTAACACCTATGGCTGGAGGATGAACATTTGGCCAAGTTTTGGCCTCTGAATGTAAGTGTCTATCTAGTTAATCAAGATGGGCATCACATTTCAGGAGACTGGTGGGTTTCTTCTAGATGAAAAGGTCCTTGGAGACCCTCTATTCTAATTTTCCACATCCCAGAGGAGGACCTGTCCATCAGAGAGCACCTGGCATACTCCCAGATTCAGGCAGTTACTCAGGGAGCAGAATTGGGCAACACCTGGAGCCCAGCTTTCATGGTCCAAGATGGTTGAGTTCCAAAGTTGAGCATTTAAAATATCAGATTCTGAGGGGAATTTCCTCAGAGTTTGATGCCATAAAGTGCCCTCCTAAGAATGGACATAAGTATTTCCCAGCACCTCCCTTAGAAGCTCCTGGGCTGGTTATTTTTAAAAAGTACAGATTTGTAGGATCCCACCTATATCTAAAGAATCAGAACCCTGGAACAGGAACTAGAAATCTGTATTTTCATAAGCGTCTTCTGTGATCTTTATTTACACTCAGGTTTGACAACTGCTACCCTAGGACAAGTACAGATTTTTGCAGTTGCTTCTGATAATCAATCCGCTCCCTAACACCCTGCTGAGACTCCCAGCTCACTCTCCCGTGGCCCTGCTTTCTATCCCTGGCTCTTCATCTTTTCACTGCCTGAGCATTTTTCCTCTTCCTTTTCTCTCCCCTTCTCTTTGTTGCTCTTTTGTGCTTTCATTTTTTGTCTCTCTTTTCTTCTTTTTCTGTTTTTTATTTACTCTTTCCCTTGCTCCCTGCCCTACCCAGCCCATTCCAAAGTGGTGCTGGGATATGGAGGAGGAGCCAAAGGCAGTGAGTTGAGCCTGGGCACTCAGAGAGCTGAGTTATGATTACAGAATGCAGTTCAGAACACACCTCGGGAGCTCAGAGACACTGAAGTTGGACTGGAAGAACATGGAGAGCTCAGCTCAGGGGATGCGTGGAGTGGTGGAGAGAGGAGAGGGTGCAGATTTATGACATGGGAAATTCCCTGAGGAAGTAGATCAAGAAGCGCAAGTCACCAGCAGATCAGGGCAGGGAGCCCCGTGAGCACCTGTCCCCTGCCTTCCCCGTGATCTGGGTGTGGATGAGCTAATGAGCTACTGGGAGGCAGGTGTGCACTGCTGCATAGACACTTCCCCACACCTTCTCCTGAGCACTTACTCTAAGAAATGGTGCATGCCCTTCATTTGGCAGACTTGAGACTTTTTAAGAAAACAGTCAATATATCTTATAGATGAGGAACCTGTCTTGCAGGAATGGAGGCTTTCCAGATGTCCCTCATGCAGAGGAACAGAAGTCAGGATTCCAACTGGGATTGTAGAGACAGGGTCTCACTATGTTGCCCAAGCTGGTCTGGAACTCCTGACTTCAAGAGATCCTCTTGTCTTGGCCAGGATTCCAATTGGGAATCCTGAATTCTGTACTTGTGTCTTGGACAAGATTGAGAAACGGTCAAAGCTTTGTCCAGTATAACCTAACTAGCTGGTATATCAGCATTTTTACTTGTTGTGTGTGTGTGCACTTATACTGTGGCATAAACACTTAGTGCATGTTGGGTATTATTTCTTATTATTAGGAAATTGTCTTGTATTTACTGTATTGCCTGCATTCATCATGATTTCCCTTTAAGGGTAGGCTATAGATTTGGCCTTTTGGGATGTCTCATAAGGAGGTCTTTGTGGAAGAACACCTGGAAGGATGATTGCAGGCAATTTCTCCCTCTCCTGGAGAGCATAGACGCCATCCTGTTGGGTGTGGGCTGGGTTCTTAGGAGGCCCAGGAAGTACCATTGCTCCTAAATGCTCTGGCTGTTTCCTGCACCTGTTGCAGAAGGTGTGGCACATTTCATAAGCTCCAGGGGGCTGGATGACACCTGGGGGAGCTGCTAAAGGGTCCTCACTTGGGAACTCTCCTTTGCCCAGTACTCCCACCCTTGAACAGTGCTGTCTGTGAGGAGGTGCATCAATGAATGGGCATCATACTGCCTGAGGCCTGAACTTGGGGTGACTTTCCTTTCTTCTTGGTCTGAATAAGGCAGAAACCAACTCCATTTCCTTATTTCCTTTCTTTGAATTCCCAGTATTCCCCCCATCCCAGATGGGTGTATTCTTTAAGGCTGGGACTGCCCTGGGAGTAGGGGCTGCCCTGTTGTCCCTGTGCCACCTTCCAGGGCAGGGAATTTTACTAGGCATTTCTTGCAGTTGCTGTCTCTGAATTTGAGTCTGAGTTTCCTGACCCTTTGCAAGCTGCCTTTTAGAATCAGAGGGTATGTGGCCTTAGCAAATCTTGAGACCCATCCTCTCCTTCTACCTTCCTCCACCACTACTCAGCATAACTCATCACCCGTTGCATTTCTGTCCCTGCTTGCTTTTCTTCATGCTCTCTTCTCCACTTGAAATATTCTTGTTCGATTTCTTTTCTGTTCATCTTCCAGTCAAGGCCCAACTCAGAATAAATTTCAGAAGCTTTCCTTGCCTCCCTCTGCTTGGTGCCCTCTCCATCCCAGCAGAAAGAACCTGCCTACCCTCTGTGTTTCTGCTGCCCTGTGCACACACCCCTATGACTGCACTTCTTCTATTGCCTCATTAGATGTTTACACCTGTGCCTCTCCCAGGTAGGACAGGGGTAGAGTTGAATGAGAGAGCTCCACAAGTCTTTTAATGGTGTCCCCAAGGCCAACCTCAGGGCTTCAACCCAGTGAGCTCTCAGGAATGGCTGCATTTTATTCTGACTGTGTTTCCAGAATCCTAGTCCTTCTCTCTCACTGACTCTGAAGATAAGCACTGGAAAGGGGAGCTTTGGGCAAATTCCTCTGCCTTGTTATCTGCATAGAGAGCCAAACTTAAATCTCTACTGCCAATTGGATCCTGAGGTGTCAGAAACTCTCCTGAGATAAAGGGGCTTCTAGTGACCAGCTTCATTCTGGACCCAGCTTCATTGTGTTTGTAATCTCATTCATTCACTCTTCCAGGCCTCCCCTGATCACCCTTCCTAAAGTAAGATCCCTCTGTTGATGTTGATGAAATAACACTGTTTATTTTCTTCAACTGAGAGTCTAACACACTGTGCCTTGGGCAAGGTTGAGAATCGGTCAAAGCTTGTCTTGTTTCTCCAATATAATCTAATAAACGGGTGTATAAGCACTTGTACTTTGTGTAGGTGTGTGGGTGTGGTCACTGATATTCTGGCACTGAGTGAGCACTCCACAATAGTAATCTATAATTATTTCTCTACTACTAATAGATTATGATCTATAATGACTTAATAATCTATAATGATAATAACCTATAATTATAATTATCTACAATTATTTATCTACTTGATATTGTCTCTCTCACCCCTATTTGGATACAGACTCCATGAGACCAGAGCTTCATACTTTCACCCCTTTTTGCTCTTGTACCTTTAGCACCAAGTACGGTCCCTGGTCCAATATTTGTGGCATGAATAAATGAATGACCAGACATTCGTTGTACTATGTGTCTGTGTGTCAGACTCGGGGTTAGGGATAGGAGATACAAAAGAAATAAGACATAGCTGTTATCTTTCAATAGCTCACTTGCCAGTGGGGGAGGCAGGTTACAGTTACAGTGCATCAGTGATAACTAATGGTATAGCAGGACACACGGGTTAGGACAGGAAGGAGGACCAGTTCAGACTAAGGAGGAGCTGGATGTCAGGGAAGTTTGATATTTGCACTGAGTCCTGAAAAGAGAGGAAAAGCTGGCCAGGCCGATGAGGCTGGCAAGGACATTCTAGGGAGATGAGGCCACATGTACAAAAGCCCAGAGGGGAGAGAATGGAAAATGAAAGGGTGTGTGGCAATAGCTGGAGCCTGGTGTTCAAGGGAGCCCTGGGAGGAACTGGCCTCTTGGCAGGGCAGTTGGCTGTCCATGCATGGTTGAGTGCTGGGGCTTTATTTCCTCTGGCTCCAGGCCAGCATGCAGACCTCAAGGTGGAGAGCAGCCTGCCATGAGAAAGTAAAATGTTGCATCCCTGGATGACTCCAGTTCCTGGCTCCACATGTCCCTTTCTGTTTGCATTATTCTGGAGAGACAGAGGAGAGACAGGGTTTTGGGTGATCCTGCCCAGTGACCTCTGGGTTGAGAAGTGTAGAGAGCACCAGGCTCTCTCTAGGGGAAAATGCTCTGCGGAAGCCCTTTAGAGAAGGGCTTTGGCTGCTGTTTTGAGAACTGTGCTGTTAGCAGCAGGAGTAGGAGAAAGGGAGAAGGACATAGGAGCTTCGGAAGCACCTTTTCAAGACTTTGTGGGTCTCCTTAGCTAGTGCCTTTAGAGATTTGGGATGCCAGGGAGTCAGGGTGATAGCCAGCATGGCTTGTCCTCTTCCTCCTTTTCTTCCTACTTTCTTCTAATTAATGCTTATAGAGTGTCTGTTGCATGCAGGGCACTGTTCCAGTCACGGAATAGGTGAGATTGAGCAAAGCAGTCAAAGTCCACTGCTTTTTGGGATCAGGGATCAGGGATGGCCTCACTGAAGCAGGGACATTTGAACAGAAACATGAATGAATGAAGGGAGACCCTGTGGGTCTCTGGGCAAAGTGTGCAACTATTAAATGAAGGTGTTACACTCTAAGCAGGTATCTGGTTTAGCAGGTGGAACATGGCTGAAAATAATTTCCCATTCCATGAGTGACAGGGAAATCTAATAGTGTGG